TTCCCAAATTTGTTGTTTTAAATCTTCATTGTAGCCTCGTACATTATGTGTACAGATTAGTAAGTCTAGTGGTTTGGGGTTTGTTTGTGTTGAGTTATTAGAAGGAGATGAAAATGAACTGTGATGTTGTGAACAATTTTACTTAGAAGGCCAGGGAAGGTTTACTTAATAAATTATTTAGTTATTGCTAATTTATTATCAGAAAGTTTTGGTACAAGTGATCATTGGAAAGAGTTAATGATTTGTGTCTGATTAATTAATTTATATAAACCTATTAGTTAATTTTATTCTATAATTTTATATCCTAATCTTTAAAAATTCATATTTCAATGAGTTTTTAATCTATTTTAATAATTTTACTATTATTAGACTTAAAAAGACCTACTTTACAACTTTTACTTAATGATTAAAATTAGTTTACTTAATATGATTTTTCATAAAATTAAATAAAAAAAATTACCATTAGGTTTATATATAATTTTAAAGTACTGCCCCCTACCCTTAAATGTTTAGTGGGGTCTAGACAAAGCAGCCAATCACAATTTAATCACGTGCCGGACAGACTGAATTTTTTTTAAGGTTTACTTGTACATGTAAGTCCTCGCTACGCTTCGGACAATTACATAACACTTCACTAACAAAAAAGCATCGTGATAACTTGCTATTATCGTTATCTAGTCATCGACAATAACTTGGTATTATCGTTATCTAGTCGTTATCTATGTTGGTAATCCAATGTTTTCAATTGCATACGTAGTTATTCAGGTTAATATAACCTAATTATTCTTCGGGCATACTTAACATGAGTTTGGACATACGTATGCATGCGGCTGAAGCTGCTACTGAATTTAGCTTATCTCCAATGTGCTGGTCTTTTATTATTATTATTATTATTATATATAAAGTAATTGATTTCCTGCGCCGTATGTACATAATTCCAAGTTTGTGATAAACTGTTGAGTATAAATTTCCATACTTGGATGCTCTACTTAACTTTATAATTACTACGTATACAAAACAAATTCAGCATCCTTAATACGTACCAATAGGTTGAAATACGTGCAATTATATTATATATATTTTTTGTAATATATAACCTAAAATATATAAGTTAATTCGCAATTAGAACATTGCTTATAAGTCATAAGTTACAACCTACTTGTGACGTAACCTAGAGCTCTAATTGAATATCATAATTCCCACGCCTCGATCCAATCCTTCTGCTATTAGGTTTTAAAGCAGCATTGACCATAAGCTGTCCTTTGTGATCCTTGCCCTGACTTGTGTTGGTCCGAACTATTTTCCTTGTTTCAGCGTGTAACTTATTTTCATACTGAGGGCTTTCTCAATCATCTCAATGAATACGATAAAGAATCTGATTGGTCAGTTTGATTAGACAGGCTAATCAAATTTTTCGTAGAGTTCATAAATTGGCGCAAATAAGTAAATTCGTGTCTACGTACTGATACCTCGTTTACATATTACCTTAGTTACTTAGTTTATCAATAACAAGCTTATAAAATGTATAAATAAATTAGAAAGGGTTGTAACTAGAAGATAACCATAATATTTGTTGATCAAGACCTTTTATTTACTGTAAATCGAGTTCTGGTTATACTCGCTAAATATATCCCGGGATCGTAATTTGTTATAGATTTCAATATGGTAATATTAAGCTTGTATTGGAAATATCAATATAGGTGGTTGGCTGATTGTGCACAGCTGTAAACTATATGCATGATAACGATACATTATCGTCAATGACTACAAATAATCCAAGATCCAAAGTTCTTTCTGTGTAGCATCTCGCGTTGTTCCGGCTATGATGTTTTCGTTATGATTGATAATGATAAAGAACATACTTATTAATCAATTCATCAATAATCGCGACCCATACTCATGTTTTGTGCTCTGGCCTTCTGAAATCTCTGGCAAAAATTGAAATCTCAATTATATAATTACCCATATCGACATGTATGTACGTACCGATGATAGAAAGTTTTACCAAAGAACTGGGACGTTTATCGTTTGGATATTTACTAGTTATATTGTTTATTTATATATTGTACGTATGTGTCCCAGATGACAGTGCCCATGTCAATCTGGCCGAAAAATGATTAATTTAGGCCTAAACGTTAGGTTCAATTTGGCCAATTGATATTTGGGCTGTCACGATTGACTAGATTGTTATTTATGGCATAACATATACCATGTATGTTACCGAATACGTAGAACCAAAATGTTGCAAAAAAAATGAAGGGGGTTGCTTATATTCGAGTCCAATTTTATTAGTAAACATAACAACCTTGGTAAATTTTCAGTTCTAAAATCTGGGGAGTTACTTTTATTCGGTGGTTGCTTCTAATCGGGAACATATCGATACGGTATATAGTAATTAATTACGTATTTTGAATTTTTTTTAATACGTATTTATTATACGTATAATATCTTTCTGTGTTATAGTTAACTGTCTTCTATGATTGGTTGGGATTAGATATATAGTATTTAAGGATATATTGACCAAATTGGTTGGTTACATAAAAACTTGCAAGTACAATTTCTTAGGTCACTAAAGCCAAAACACCAAACTTGTCTTCTCGTTCATTGTGTTTTAGTAACATCGCCATCTCATATATGATATGAATGCAAAATTTGTTTATAAAAAAAAAATCGTACGATTTTTTTCGAAATCATCGCTATTATTTTTATCGAGATATTATTCATGGATGCTAAACTTGTCTGCAAAAAAAAACATATTTTATTTGAGAATCTTAAAACTCGCTTTTTTTGTATAATCGATATTGTTGTATCATTATCTGATCCTGGAATCGCTAGTTATATGGACTAATCTGCTATAAAATAAGAGTGAATTTTACTTCATGTTAACTAACCTGATTTCGTTAAATTTCTACGAATCATGGCTTCAGTTCTTGATCAAGTAAAACAATGGACCATCATCGTTGCTGATTCGGGTGATTTTAAGTGTGCGTATTATTAGTTTGCTATATAGTTTGTTATGAAAACTTCAATTTAATTTAAATCAATTAATAAGCTTACAATTTTTAAATAGCCATTACTCAATACAATCCACAAGATGCAACTACTAACCCTTCTTTAATCTTGCAAGCGTGTAAAGACCCAAAATACGATTATTTAATTAATTCTGCAATAGAATATGCAAAAGAAAAAGGAGGGTAATAATTATTTAATATATAATTTGCCTTGTATTGTTTTAAAATTATATAATTATAATAAATTTTCAACCTTTAAAATTTCCAACTTTATTAGATCCACTGAAAAAATAATTGAATTGGCTGCTGATAAATTGGTAAATTATATATATATATTTGTATTAACAATTTAAAACTAATTCTTAATATTATTCATAATTTCATCTTTTATATAGTTGATAAATTTTGGATCAGAAATTCTTAAAATTATTCCAGGTCGTATTTCGGTAGAGGTGGACGCAAAACTTTCTTTTGACACTGAAGCAACGATCGTTAAATCTAGGCATTTAATCGCCCTGTTTGAAGAAGTTGGCGTTGATAAATCGCGTGTCATGATTAAGATTGCTTCCACTTGGGAAGGAATTCAAGCTTCCAAAGTACTTGAAAATGAAGGAATTAAATGTAATATGACCCTCCTTTTCTCTTTTACTCAAGTAAGCTTCTTTTAAATCTTATCACTCCCAATATTTAATTCAACCAATATATAATCATACATAATCACTTTACAAACTACTTTATGTAGGCTGTGGCTTGTGCTGAAGCTGGTGTGACCCTAATCTCCCCGTATGCTGGTCGAATTCTTGATTGGTATATGAAGAATACCAACAAGACTTACAAATCAAACGAGGACCCTGGTGTTTTATCTGTAACCGAAATTTATAATTATTATAAAAAATTTGGTTACAAAACCATCGTCATGGGTGCGAGCTTCCGTAACACGGATGAAATTGAAGAATTAGCAGGTTGTGACTTTTTGACAATTAGTCCCGCATTATTAAATAAATTACAAAACAGCTATAAAAAAATAGAAAGGAAATTGAGTCCCGATACAGGTATATTTTAAAATATTATACGGTTTATGATCATGAATTTTGAAAGGTTGCAAATATTTATTATAACTTTTATTTATCTTTGGGAATAGCGCATCATCATTTGGCGTCGAGAGCCACTTACAACGAAAACTCTTTTAAATGGGACTTCAATGAAAATGCCATGGCCACTGAAAAATTAGCGGAAGGAATAAGGTTATTTGCTAAAGATACTAGAACTTTACATTTGATTTTAAGACAACGGTTGACTAATGAAAGTTCGATAATCTCTGAAGATATTAAGCCGGTTGTTAAAAATAGTAAACCCTTTAAAATGTTTAAACGCCTGGCAAAACTTGTAATTAATCAAGCTTAAACATATTTTTATTGATTTTTTTGATTATTATATATTATTCTTATATTGTAGACCAATATAGACAAATTTGACTACATTTCTATTATAAATATTATTGATCTCTTTTTATTATAAATATATTATTGATCTATTTTTATTATAAATCTATTATTGATCTATTTTTATGATAAATATATTATTGATCTATTTTTATTATAAATATATATTGATCTATTTTTTTAGCAATTAAAAAATATATTTAATTGTGATAATAAATATTATATAATATTATAAAAAGTTCTTGATATTTTATGTTGAATATATAAATTTATACGCGTAATTCTGATTATCGACAATTTTGAAACATTAGTAAAAATTTTCAAAATGTCGATACAGTGAGTTATACCAAAAAAATGTCGGTATAGACCGATTTTTCTATGATGTCGTTATATCCAGATGTTGGTATAACCAGAGTGACGTGTAGCAGTCAATTGAGCTTTTTTATATAGAAAAAAGAAGAACTACAGCAATCAAGTGCATAATAAACAGCCTACTAATACTTGAGAAACTAAACAGAAGAAGGTCAGAAGTTTACACAACTTCAGAATACTAGGTATGTCAAGTTAGAAAGAAGAAAACTTAGCAAGTCATAATGGACAAAAGATTTTGTAAATATGGATTCAAAAGTTACAATAGCAACAACATGAAATGGACTTAAAAAGAAAAAAAACAGAATCTTGTCACAAGTTTTATATAAGACTCTATTCAGAAAAACAGAAATAAAAGAAATTATAAACAGAAAAATATTGATAAAAAGACTTATAATACTAAAAGTAGAAAAAAGATTTAAATGACTTTTAAGCAAACAGACAATACAGAAATACATAGATATAGTAATAAGAACAATATGAAACACCTTCTATGACCAAGTATAGAGAGTTTGATATAAAAAAATACAAGACTAAAAGAAGAAGATCAATATAATAAGTAAAATGAAAAAAGATACTCATGTAAGAAAAAAGATAGGTAAAAGAAAAAAGAAAAATAAATAAACAAAAAAAGAAATAAAATAAAAAGAGCAAACTAAATAAAAAAAGAAGCTTAAAAAAAAATTAATATGTTTGTTACAAAAGGTGAGAAACTTCTTTGATATAACTTTAAGTAATTAGACAAACAGTCTATCTCTAACTAAGATAGTGCAACAGGTTGCACTTAAATACTAATAAGTAATGTTAAACTTAGATATTAAAAAATTTTATATAATAGTATATGTATATAGTTTCAAAAATTTTAATAAAGTACTAGCATAACTGCTTAAAATTAAAAAAAAATTTAAAACTGAGATATTATAAAGATAAAATTTTTATTACTAGTAAATTGGTTAGTAGAATTTTATTTTGAAATAAGTATAATTTAAAATTTAAATTTAGAAAGTTAATTATATTTGAAAATTGTTAAAAATTAATAAAAAAAAGTTATTAAAAAAAGTTATATTAAAATTAAAAAAAAAAGTATTATTAAAAAGTTAAATTATTAATTTTGATTTAAATATATTATTTTTGTTATATAGAAGTATTATAGATGTTTATAATGTAATAAAAAAATATGATTTAATAAAAATTTATATTTATATAAAAGACAAATATATGTTTTATTTTTATATTTTTTAAAAGAAATTGTAATTATTTTAGAAAATTTAAATAAATTATAATAGGTTTGTATATATAAATAGAAACTATTAATTATTTAAAGTTTGTATAATAGAAAGAGTTTGTAATAATAATTTTTTTTTCTCCTTAAGCAGTCATGCTAGTGCTTTATTAAGATTTTGAAATTATATTTACAATTACATAAATATCCTTAACAACTAAGCTCAGCATTACTTGGCCACTCTAATAGTACCTAAATGCAATCTGCTGCATTACTTCAAGCAGAAGTAAGCCACTCATCTGATTACTTAAAGTCTATAATGAAAGAGTCTTGAAAGAGTCTTCTCCTTTCCATAACAAGCTCTAAAATTGTTTTCTATATTTCTTTTCTGATTTGTTTTTCTTTTTTTTTACTTTCTCTTTTCTTTCTTCTATGACTTGTTAATTTGGTTTTTTTTTTTTCTTAGTGCTTTTTTTTTTTTTTTTCTTTTTATCCTATTTGTTATTCCTTCATTTTTTTCCTATTCATTAATCTTCTTATATTAGATTCTTTATACTTGTTTGTAGAATGTATCCTAATTGCTATTATATTCATAAACTGCTGTTTTGATTTTGTAGTTAGGAACTGCTTCAATCTGTTCTGTATTTTTTTTAGAATAAGATCTTTAATTAGCACTTCTCTTATTTTAATTTTCTTTGTTTCTATTTTCCTAAAGAATGCTATATATAATACATATAGGGGAACTCAAACTTTTTCTTCTTTTTTTAACTCCTTTTAGGCTGTTGCAATGGTTACTTTTTGGATTCTTTTTCACAGATTCTTTTGTCTCTTATATGCTACCAAATATGTTTGTATTTTTTTTGTTTTATCTTAATACACTTGGCATTCTGTCATTATATTGTTTTTTTTTTTTTTTAAATATTAAGGTGAGTACTTGTGACCCAGGATTTTATTGATAGTACATTCAGCTAATGGTT